GTTCAGCAGATGCTTGGTGAACACTTACTGTATGTAAAGCAACTTTCTCGTGAAGTCACGGTACAGTGAGTGAGCGGTCTGGGTGCCGGCACTTCACGCACAGGATCTCCTTAGCTTCCCCACACATCGGTGGTCTCCCATGTGCCTCTCATGGGCCCTAAATGAGCCTGGCGGGGTGTTTGACCCTCAGCTCTCACACTGCCCCTTCCGGATGCACAGTGTTCTCAAGGCCAGAACGGTGGACAGTGATGCTTACTTGCAATTAACGGGACGCGTGGTTGCCCTCCAGCCTGTCACAGGGCAGATATGAGCTCTGAGCTCAGGCCCATGCTTCGCAGCGCTGGTCATTGTAACGACGGGGCCGGGGCTCGGCAGTGTGACCTTGGAGCCGTGTAGAGCCACGCTCGGGACACCTGCGTCATAGTCTTACAGCCAGGAGCCCCCAGAGATGTGAGGTGGACTGCCTGTCCTGGGGCAGATGGGGAGTCTGGGGGCCTGTGTGCTGCTTTTCTATATTCACAAAAATATTCTACTGGGATTTTGATGGGAGTTGCATAAAATCCATAGATCAGTTTGGGGGAGAATTGACATTTTTACTGTGTTGAGGCTTTCAACTCATGAGCACAGTATGTCTCTCCATTTATTCAGTTCTTCTTAGTGTTTTGTAGTTTTCAGCAGACAGATCCTCTGCGTGTTTTGTTAGATTTATACCTAAGTATTTCATTTCCTGGGGAGCTAATTTAAAAGGTAATTTAAAAATCTTGGTTTCCATTTGCTCCTTGACAGTATATAGAAACGTGATTGACTTTTTTCTAAATTAATTAATTAATTAGTTAATTTTTTATTTGTGGCTGCATTGGGTCTTCATCGCTGCATGCGGGCTTTCTCTAGTTGCGGCGAGCAGGGGCTACTCTTAGATGCGGTGTGCAGTCTTCTCCTTGTGGTGGCTTCTCGTTGCAGAGCACGGGTTCTAGGCACGCGGGCTTCAGTAGTTGTGGCTTGCGGGCTCTAGAGTGCAGGCTCAGTAGTTGTGGCACACGGGCCTAGTTGTTCCGCGGCATGTGGGATCTTCCCAGACCAGGGTTCGAACCTGTGTCCCCTGCATTGGCAGGCGGATTCTTAACCACTGAGCTACCAGGGAAGTCCCTCAACACATTTTCTGATTTTCCTTGAGACTTTTCCTTTGACCCACGGATTATTTATAAAAAATATTGTTTAATTTCCAAGGGTTGGAGATTTTTTTTTTTTTTACCTTTCTGCTACTGATTTCTAGTGTAATTCCATTTTGGTCAGAGAACATATTTTGTAGGGTTTCAACTCCTTTAAATGTGTTGTTTTGCTGTAGAGCCAGGATATGGTCTATCTTGGTTAATGTTCCA